ATGAACAAGAGTATACTGATTGTTTCTACCATGGTGTACAAAATTTTTATCAAATTGCCATGGTGTACCAAGAAATAAGGAACATGCTTGCATAGGTATCACATCACAATCAACATAATCAGCATATGTAGAGATACTAAAATGCACACGAACAGTACGTGTTACCTTAACCTTGCCACTGTTGTTGAACCATTGGATGTAGTAAGGATGTGGATGTGGTCTTGTGGTGAGAAATAGCTTCTCCACCATCTCCATGCTAGCCAAGTTATTGCAGCTCCCTCCATCTATGATGACGCGAACAGAACGTTCCTTCACAACTCCCTTTGTATGGAACAAATTATGTCTTTGACTTTGCTCAGCTTGTATGACCTACACACTCAAAACACATTGAGCAACTAAACATTCATACCTGTCAGCATCTTCAGGAGCCATGTATTGTGTCTCATGATCAGAATCATCTCCGCCGTGTTCTTCACGTGTAATAAGAGCCAAAGTCTCCTCATCATAGTCACTAGCGGACTCATAGCCACCATCCTCAGTAGCAATCATCACACACTGAGATTGGCATTCTCTAGCAAAATGTCCTCTTCCATTACAACGACGACAAATAATATCACTTGTGTGCCCAGTTGATGCCATGGACGAAGAAGAGCTCTTCGCAGGTCCGGCAGGTGTGCTCTTGGCAGATAGTGGTTGTTGTGCCTGCTTTCTTGTATCACAGATGGAGGTGGCACCTGATGGAGGTGCTGGTGGAGTGGAAGTAGAGGATGCACGTGGTGTCCATGATGAAGATCGACCTGCAGAAAAGTTAGTTCGTGCCAATGCCTGTCGATCCTGCACTTCACGTTCAGCTTTACAAGCAAGATGGAATAAACGAGTGATATTAGTATACTCCTTATACTCTAGAATGGTCTGAATCTCTCTATTCAATCCACCCATAAAACGTGCAAGCATAGCTTCATTCTCCTCATCAATACCACATCTAATCATGCCAGTTTGTAATTCCTGATAATATTCTTCTATAGATTTTTTTCCTTGTCTTAAACGCTGCAATTTTTGAAGTAATTCACGTTGATAATATGGTGGAACCCAACGAGTATGCATAGAAGTTTTCAAAGCAGCCCAAGTAGTTGGAATAGGATATAATCTACAATGTTCAGACCACCAAACACATGCAAAGCTAGTGAAAGCACAAACAGCAGCAGGAACACGTCTCTCCTCAGGATATTGTAAACATGTAAATCGTTGTTCAGTTTCTAACTCCCAAGTAAGATATATATCAGGAACATATCTACCCTCAAATGGTGAAATATTCAATTTTAGTTTAGGAAGATGGTCATGTACTTCAGGTGGTGGTGCAGCCCTACCGTTGCGATGATATGCATGAGGACGACCTGGTGGTGGTGGTATTGGTGGTTGCACGTAGTTCTGATTTTGGTCAACCTCATCCTCGTAATGGTCCTCCACCTCTGTAGTAGCAGCAGGAGCGGTCGAAGCATCAACAGCGGCACCAGAATTTTGCCCAGGGTCAATGGGAACGCGCTGTGCTCATCCCACTTGATTTGGAAAGCGACATTGTTGTTGTTGTTTTTGTTGTTGTTGTTGTTGTTGTTGTTGTTGTTGTTGTTGTTGTTGTTGTTGTTGTAGAGGTGCGTTAGGGGCAGCCGGTGGTGGTGGTGGAAGACGCGCGAGCAATTCATTAAACTTGTTATCGAGCTTTGTTTCGAACGTCTTTTCCATGCCATCTGTCTTCTTCATGGCCTCTTCAAATCTGTTTAGCACATCTTGCACCTGTCCACTCATCATTTGCTGAAATTAATCATGGAACTCCTTATTTTTCATGTTCTCCCAGTCAGTCTCGTCGACTTGTGATCCTGCCATGGGTAGCAGCAATAGAAACACACAAGAATATGATCCTACAGACTACTAACAAGAGGTGGTGGTGGATGTCACAAATCCGTCAAGCAAATCTCAAATTCTTACCAGTTCTTACCTAGCAGCAGGCGGTGATCGGCAACTGTCGTAGTCAGAACTCTCAAAGCTTGGATAGAGCGATTACCGGGGAGAGTCAAACGCACGACGTAGATGTATGTGGAGCTAGGAAGGCTTATAATATGGTAGCAAAAAGGGTCAGCAATAATCAATTTAGAGATGCAAAGTTAAATAAACGCTCAACAACGGTACTGTGCTGGTCCTAGGCTAGACCGTACTAGAGACGCGAGCCTAGAACACGAACAAAATCACGGCGCGGCACGTAAACAAGGGAGGAGCACTCTCTGATTTTTTTTCTTTTTTTTTCACTTTTTTGCACTTTTTTTTTCCTTTTTTTCTTTTTTTTGCTCCGCAACAATTTTTTTTTCGAAAAAGTCTACAAATGGTCGAAAAACAGCCTAGCCAGAATTTTCCAGACTTAGTTTTTTTTTTGAGTTTGGAACTATTTTTCTTCTGCGGGTAGCACGGAATCTCAGGAGTACTACTCTGTCACGACTCGAAGTATCGCGTGATCTGGAACTCGAAAACAAAGCAACAAATACTGGACTCGGACTGGTAGCGGAGATGAATCTGGTGGAACTCGGACTGGTGGCGGCGATGAATCTGGTGGAACTCGGACTGGTGGTTGTATATGGTGATGGTATATGTGGACTCGGATTGGTGATTGTATATGGCGATGGTATATGTGGACTCGGATGGTGGTTGTATATGGCAGCGGCGATGTGTATGGTGGGGTGGTGGTATATGGCAATGATGATGACGATGGTGCGGCGACGGCGTGACAACCTGTGAATAGAACTCAAAACTCTAAGGGCCTAGACGCTAAGACCAGCAACTCGACACGACGATGCAACCGTAAATTCAACAAAGCAAAACTCTAAAAAGACTATGCAAAGGCTCAGATTGGTTCGGATATGATGAACTAGCCCTATTTTTTTGTTGGCTTTTTTCGTGGACTGTAGGTATGAAGAATAGACTCGATCTAAACTATGAAAACTTGAAAATCTCACCAAGCAACCTAAAAATCTGATACCACTTGATAGAGGCAAAGGTGTCCCGTCTTTCGATGAGGTGGTGGCTATCGTTTTAGAGGAAGTCGACTTTGACGACCCGACTACGAACCTGCGAGGACGTCGCGCCTTAGCAATCGCTAAACCAACTCTGAGGGGTTATTGACCACGCCGGAGCACGATCAACCTGACCACGAGGGCCTGTTTCCTGTGAGCAAATGAAGAACAAGCAAGAAACTGAGATTGCAATCTGGATATTGCGAATATAAGATGAAAGATTTATTGATCAAGGTGGGGTTCTGTGACGTCTTGGTCTGGTCGTTGGACACAAACGAAGTACGTGAAGTTGCAGCTATGGCGAACTTTTAATCTAAACAAAACCAAAGTCTAAACGACGCCTAAGGGCTGTATATATGGTGGAAGAGGGGGGGATTTCATGGCCCTTGGAAGAGGGGTCCGAAACCAACCCTAACTCTTGTTTCCCCACACATACGGACTCTAAAAACAGCCTATACTTAAGTATTTCGAAAATACATGGGTCTGGCCCAATAATAAGGTGACGCGGCACCTAAAATAGCCTCTGGAAAAAATTTATGAAGTGGCATCTTGTATATTTCGTTCAAGGCTTCATGCACTCCTTATGGTGGCTTCAAAGTCCTGAAATCATCACTTGTAACTCCGTTCTGGATCCCCTTGCGCATGACATCATCTCCACGCTTGAACTTGTTCCAAGGTTCATCTTTCTTGTCCAAGCTAGACCCTTCATTTGTAAGCAAGACAAATGTATCCAATTTAGGCAGCATCATATTCTCATGAATATTATAATCGTTACCAAGAAACGAAAGTACCTGATAATTCAATTGGCGTGCGCGCTGTGGGTGTAACAATGGTATTGATGTCCTCATCATTGGATTATGCTGAAATTTGACGTAGGGGGTTTCTATAGTCAGGGTAATGTCCTGGTAACTTTTCAACAATTATAAAGCAAAATAAAATGTAGTTGCTTCACAAACTGAAAATATTACCAGAAACAAAGATTCGATGGTGAGCTCATATGTATTGTTAGATAGAGCTCAACTTTTGTGTAGAGCTACGACTTTGGCATATAGAATGTGAGGCAAAAAATCAACTCATTACGATATTCCTATCGTGTACTTCCTTCACAAAGCTTCTAGGTGAATAGAAACTTTGGAAATTTGCCGAGGAAGATTTACTAGGAAAATATAGCTGAATATTGGCATGTGGAAATGATTTGGGTGTGGAAGATTGACTAAAAAGTTTGAGGGCAATAGGAGTGGTATAGATAGTTCTTGCTTTGCAACGTGCCAATCTGGACAGAAAATAAAAATTGAAGCTGAGCTCACATAGATGATTTGATTGAGCTACAATTTGGAGGAGGGTGATAATTTGGGCATATGAAGGAACTGTATAAATTTCATGCCATTTGGATGTGCATAGCTAGTACTTACTTCACAAAGCTTCTACTTGAACAAAAACTTTGGAAATTTGCCGAGGAACATTTACTTTGAGAACAGCTGAGACGATGCCAAGTCCGCAACCTGAGGCACTGGTCCAACAGTCGGCACACCGCCGCCCCATCCACCACATCCACAGACCGAGATCGATGCTACAACAAGAAGATGACTCCCTAACTAAGTCGCAAGTTCCCACCTCGGCTTGATCGGCGGCGACCGAAAGCCGAGAAGCCCGACTCCAAGGCAACAACATGCCAAACCTCGCTCGAGGAGTACCCAACCCCGGGCAGGAGGTCCATGTCAAACTCCATACCCGATGGTCGATCCGTGTCGCCGATTCGCTGTCAAGACACGAACCGGGACAAGGTGAGCGCTGCTCCATGAAGAGAGAGAGGCCGCTCATGGCGGGCGGCAACTCCGGTCGCCAAGCAATCGTGCCAATGCCATGCCCCGCCTCTCCATCACCTCCTGATGCCATGATCCGCCACCACCAGTCCAAGTCACGGCCACCACCCACCTCCCCATGTCCCGCCTTCACGCCCGCGGGAAGGACCGCCGGTATCCACCGCCTTCATCATCCGCGACCGAAGCCCCATGGACGCCCAAGCATGTTGCCTCCAGCCCAAGCCGCGAGGACACACAGGGATCCAGAACACCGTCGCATGCCACCCACCAGCAAGCACCCAGACGGGCCCATTCCCTTGCCTCACGCCACGTCGGAGCCTCGGCGACAGATCCGGATGGAAGGAGGGAGAGGGGTGGGGGGTTTCTACCTTTAATCTTCCGCTACGGGTTGTCCAGTCGCATGGGGAGAGTGACTGGTCCAACTAGGCCGTCAGTGATAAACGTCAACGCTGACGGTTAGCCAGATCATCAGTCAGACGATTTCTATTGGTGTACTGCCGCCGGCAGGGCACAGAAAATCAATCAATCTAGCCACGCTTTATTTTATATTATAATAATTATAAGGAAAACATCCCCTTAGCAAGGCAAGGAGTGGGCGGGAGCATTCCTCTCTGCCCATTTCCCGGGCTCTCCTCCAAACAGGGCAATGCCACGGCGACCACCCATAGAAATTGGGCCACGCATCAGAAGGATTTAATCGTCGTCGACCCCTGCCCTCCACCCCACGTTCGCGCCCTGCTTAAAATTAGGCAGGCGCCGCGCCCCTTTTTAATTTTTTCGGGGCCGGACCTGCCAACCTCCCTCCCTCCTCCACGTACAATACAATGCAATGCCGGCCGCAGCAGTAGTGCGCGACATGTCCCCGCGCCTCGCTGTTGTTTCTTGATTTCTTCTCTCTGCTCATTGTGTTGTTTGGTCCTCTTTGGTCTAACCTGAGATCTATCAACGATCGTTATTGCGGCTCTTGTCCTTGTTCCTGGGTGAGGAGAGGACGCCGGCCGTTTCTAGCACCGGGTGCTGCTGATCCTGTTCTTCGTCACGGCGGCGGCCTTATCGCTCTGGTCTCCGGGAAGCCGCGGCGGTGCACGACCGCCGGGGCCAACGTGCCCACGCCTTGCGCGTCAAGCTCGAGGCGGTGGGCTGGGTGATGGTGCGGTTCCTCCGGCGGCATAGCCTTGACAAGAGCAACTCGCACACCCACCTACGGAAGGAGGAGCAAGAGAGCAACAGCTGTACAGAAAGCGACACGGCGGAGATGCAAGAGCCCGGTGGCAATGGCGGCGGGGGTGCTCCCCCGCTGCCCAACGGCCGGACGGCGCCTCGCTCCCGTCTCGCACGCGACGGGCCGCCCTCAGGCACGCCAGTTTTGATTGATTCATTTTGCTAAACTGCGTTTTAATTAGTTATAAGGTGCCAGTTAATTTGGTCGATGCGATTGTGCCAGTTAACCATTCTGGCTTGTTTTGTTTGGTCAGATTTGGACGTGATGAAGGAGAGATTTGCGAAGCTGCTGCTTGGAGAGGACATGTCAGGGACCGGGAAAGGCGTGCCGTCGGCTCTAGCGCTGTCCAACGCCATCACCAACCTGGCCGCGTCCGTCTTTGGGGAGCACCGCAAGCTGGAACCCATGGCGCCGGACACCAAGGAGCGGTGGAAGAAGGAGGTCGGCTGGTTGCTGTCCGTCACCGACCACATCGTCGAGTTTGTCCCGACAAGACAGACCGCCGAGAACGGCACTACCATGGAGGTAACAAGCTCTTCTTTCCATCTGACTAATAGTATCTATCATTGTAACATCTTGGGGTTTTCCTTTCCTATCCACAGATCATGTCGACAGCGCAGCGTCGCGACCTGCAGATGAATATCCCCGCTCTGCGCAAGCTAGACGCCATGCTGATTGTAAGTGCTATTAGCTTATTATGCATCTCCAACGGCAACATGCAAAAAACCTCCCGCATTCATCTACGTATAGGAAATCAGTCCGCGGATACCGATACGGAAGGTCGACATCCAATGCTAACCGCATACATTTTCACAGTAACTCGAATCAACGGCAGAAATTAAATCAGAAAGGATGAATTTTAATATAAACATGCCGGATTTCATTTAAAGTGGATATTTGTACATAAATTTCATCCAATAAACTAAAAATATAAAATTAAGAACCTGAACTATCATATACTAGCCAATGCCGGGCTGGCCGGCTGCTCATCCTCCATCATCGTTGCCTGTCGCCGTTGGAGGAGTTGTCGTCGCGCTTGGGGCGGCGGAAGGTGGTGGCGTCGCGGCAATGCTTCCCGATGGTCGCCTGACGCTCACGGATGATCCTCTTCACCTCCTCTTGCGTCGTGCACAATTAGAGCATCTCCACTAGTCCCCCAAAAGGCCCTCAGGAGCACTTTTTCATCGTCGGCAATGAAAAAGGTCTCCACTCATGCCCCTAGGATCACCTTTTTTGCCGAATTCGTCAAATTTTAGCGCCTGCAGTCCCACCCCAAACCCAGCCCCCTGAGAGGCATCTGGAAGCGCCGGCGATATGTTTATCCATGCAAAGGCCCACATGCAGTCTCTCTCCTCTCACTTTTCACCTGACACGCATGAGCTCTCTCTCTCTCTCTCTCCTCGTCTTTTCTTCCAATAACCGCGCCGCTCGCCGTCTCTTGCCGTCGTGCCTGCCGCCGGGGCCGCCCTACGTGGCTGCTCGCGCGTGCGCGTCCGGAGCCGCGGTAGCTCGTCTCTGACGCCGCGGGAGCTCGTCCGCCGGTGTGTGGCCGTGGCGTGGCCGGGTCGAAGCTCGCTGCACGCGGACGCCGGCTCACTGCTGCTCGCTGCCTGCACACCTCTGCCACCGCACGGTCGCGGTCGCGCTTCTTCAACCTCCGCCATCGAGGCCGAGCTGGAGGCCAGGGAGCGGACGGCCTCCTACACCAGCGACGGCCAGGCGGAGCAGCGCGGGCATGACCGTGGACGCCCGCCTGGACGACGCGGCCGGGACGACATGGGCGGAGCTCGCTGGAGCGCGCGACGGCCGGGACAACGAGTCCGCGACCGCAGCGCCCGACGCGCCCCTGGCCGCGCCTGAGCCAGACCTTGCAGCACCCCGCGCCCGCCCGCACTGCTGCCACTGCTCATCCGGCCAGCGCTTCGGACGCCATGGCCAGAGCTTCGCTCCCGCGCGCGGTCGTGCGCCCCTGGCCGCGCCCCCTACCCGCTTGGTCGTGCCCCCACGAGCACTTGCGAGCTGCTGTTGCCTCCTGCGCACCCCGCGTCGCCTCTGGCCGCGGCCCTACCTGCTACTTGCGCCGCTATTGCTGCCTCCTGCGCGCCCCGCCTCGCCTCTGGCCGCGCCCCCTGCCCGCTTGGCTGCCTCGGCGCCGTCGGCGACCTCCTTGGCGAAGGGGATGGACTCCGCGATGTTGTCCGCGACTGCGCGGCGACAGACCGGCAAGGGCGGCGAGCAGCAGGAGGTACGTGCGTGGGGGGCAACGAGTGGATAATTTTTCATCCCCGGACTAAATGTTGCGCCGGCAGCCCCCCAAGGGGCGAAAAAATGCCTCCTAGGGGCTCAATGGCTGGAGATGCTCTTAAGCCGCGGCCACCGAGGACGTGGGCTGGGGGAGAGGGCGGCGGTTGTTGGACGCGCCGTCGTTGGTGGCTGCGGCGATCTCGGTGAGGGACCATTCCTCGTCGTACCTGGCCATCTCCCTGTTGAGGCGGCAGAGACGACGCTTGGCCGTCTCAGACGTCGTCACGGAGCGATCCAGGGCCTAGGCGTATGCCACGTCTGGGTCCGCCGCGATGTGCGACGGCGGGATGTCGGAGTCTGTGAACTAGGATCGACAGAGTCCAACTAGCGCCTTTCCCGGTCGACGTACTCCTGCGCCGTCTTGGCGCTCCGGGACGACGATAAGGAGCTGCCGCAGAGGTAGTGCGGAATGCGCCCACGTGCCTTGGGCAGGCGTGACGGCGGCAAGCGGCGCTCCTCCTTGACGACGCGCCGAGGCGGTGGCCAGCGGCGCTCCTCCTTCACAACACGCCGGGGCGGCGGCGAGAACCACTCTTCCTTGACGCGGCGGCGGAGAGCGTGGAGGGGATGTCGGCTCCGACATCACAGGGAGGAGCTTCCCCGGTGGCGGAGCCGGGCCGTTGGTGTGGATGACAGAGCGACGGAGCACCGACTCCATTTGCTCCTCAAACTCTGCATCGATGCCGGCGTAGACCTAGCCCCGCACCGATGGTGCGAATTGTGGTGGTGGCGGCGGTGGATGCTGGTCCTCCTCGTCGCCGGAGGAGTTGACGACCTCCTCCCGCCTCGAGCCGCCGCCAGCCGACCAGGACAACGGCCTCGGAGTCCTAGGGCGGCGTCTCCACGAGCCCGGGAACCGCCTGCCGGCGCCGACGCCCAGGACTTGCCCTTCGCCAGAGATGTAAGGGGGGTGGGCGAGGAGGAGGAGGAGGAGGGGGAGGAAGAAGAAGGATGCGGTGTGAACGGCGCCGGAGCGCAGCTTAAATAGTTGCGCCCAGGCCATGCGAAGGGTCAGTCAGCCGCTTCAATGCGGCACATCGAATGGAGTTGGTTCCTCGGTAACATGTGTCCGCATTGAAGCGGCGGCTGTCGAGAGGTCGCATCGGTCAGCACCGCCCTCCCTCCTCTGGTCACATAACGGCATCAATGCCGACCTCTGCGTGCTCTCAGCCGGCATGAATGCGACGCGGTAAGCGATGCGTGCTTCAGAAGAAAAACGTGGGAGGGGCGGGTCACGAGTTTTGGGTGGATCAGGGCGGTCAGAAGCGGGCTTGGGGATCCAGACTCCTGCAAACCTCTACATTTTTGTCTCTGATTTTCAGGAGAAATCATGTTCGAACCGTCTCGCGGACCGATACAGATCGGCGTTGCATAATTTCTGCGCTCCGGACAATGTCATCCGAATGATTGTGAAAGGTTTACGGTCCGCCTTGAAGATGCCCTTACCAATCATTTACTTACTACGTATGGATTGATTGGACCAAGAGAGATCCTGAACTGAGCTAAAGTAATGGTCGTAATGCACGAATATGAATGTTTGGTGGCGGCATGCATGCAGGGTTACATGGACAACTTCGTGGACCAGACCGAGTTCTGGTACGAGAAGGGCGGCGACAACAAGCGCGACGACGACAAGTGGTGGATGCCGACGGTGAAGGTGCCGGCGGAGGGCCTGTCGGATGTGACCCGCAAGTGGCTGCAGTACCAGAAGGAGTGCGTGAACCAGGTGCTCAAGGCCGCCATGGCCATCAACGCGCAGGTGCTGGTGGAGATGGAGATCCCAGAGATCTACATCGAGTCGCTCCCCAAGAAGGGCAAGACGAGCCTGGGCGACGCCATCTACCGGAGCATCACCGACGAGGAGTTCGATCCGATCGAGTTCCTGGAAGGGGTGGACCTGTCGACGGAGCACAAGGTGCTTGATCTCAAGAACCGCATCGAGGCCTCCACCATCATCTGGAAGCGCAAGATGCAGACCAAGGACGCCAAGTCCTCCTGGGGTTCCATCATCAGCTTCGAGAAGCGCGAGCAGTTCGAGGAGCGCGCCGAGACCATCCTCCACCTCCTCAAGCTTCAGTTCCCCGGAGCCCCACAGTCACAGCTCGACATCTCCAAGATCCAATACAACAGGGTACATACCTGCGCCTTCCCGACCATTCATGATGCGTCATGCATGTCATGGTTCGCTCGTTGGTTGTTGATGGTGAAGTTGCATCGGCAGGATGTTGGTTACGCGCTCCTGGAGAGCTACTCGCGCGTCCTAGAGAGCCTGGCGTATAGCGTGATCTCGAGGATCGAGGACGTGCTGGGTGCGGACGCGGCGGCCACGAACCTGACGGCGAGCGAGGCGGCTCGGAGGCAGCTGGAGATGAACGCGCCAAGGAAGCTGGACGCCAGGGAGGAGCTGGAGAAGCTCAACGAGGCGCCGGCGTCCATGACGCTCTACGACTTCATGGGATGGCACTTCGACCAGGACGAGCTCATGAGGAAGAAGGAGGGGGGCACGCTCGACGAGGCCGGCGAGGCCATGCTGCTCAAGAAGGCGCCAAGCCTCGCCCCCAAGAAGTTCTCCTACGTGGACAGCCTCACCGGCGGCGTAAGGAGCCCCTCCGCGCGTCACTGATCGTACGCCATTGTCATCTCGAGAGAGCCAGGCCAGCACAGATCGATCAAAGCAACAACGGGAACCAATCGATCCAAGATGGCATGGCAATGTACATATCTGAGGAGTGCACTTCGTACGTATTGGAGATCGACATTGGAGTGCACAGATCATCACCGGCTCGATCGATGCATCGGCCGGACTCGTTCATCCCTCACATATACAGTAGACCGGAACGAGCAATTCTAGAGGACGGGAAAAGGACGAATGAACAGGATGGTTTGATCAGCTACACATTATTTTACTCTCCTTGCTCTCCGCCCGACATGTGCATGCAAGAACTTGCTTTGCTTTGCTCGGGTTGCTGTTGTACGTACGTGGCTACTTCCCGGGAGAGGAGACGCTGAACTCTGTGGTATGTGTATAGCCAGCGGGCAAACACATTGTATTCGTTGATTTGATTTAACCTAACCATTTCTAGACTCGGTTCCCCTGTTTCAGAGGGCAAACACACCTGATTATGCCAATTACCATTCTAGCTTGTTCTGTTCGTTTGGATTTGGACGTGATGAAGGAGAGATTTGCGAAACTACTGCTCCAAATCTGTTGTTTAACGGATTGGAAATTGTACACCTCATGCCAAACTTGGCAGGAGAATGAGCAGCCAGTGAGGATGTGTTGCATGCACTCTGGCTCCTGGTCACAAAGGATGCAGTGAGGCACGTGTGGAAGCCCGCCTAGTTAGTCGGTTGGCAGACCAACATTGCTTTAGGAGGGCATGAGTTGGTCGGGGATCGGGGAAAGGGTGGTGTGACGCAGAAGCCGCTAGAGATCGACGTACTAGACCGTTGCCGTAGGTCCGAGAGCATCGTAGATGTCACGGATCCATTATCAACCGTCCTTCGTTTGTCGCGTCGTCCGAGGACAAAGGCGAAGACAAGAGACACAAGCTCCGCGGTGTATCGGCCATTGATCCGGTGATCAAACCAGAAAAGACAAGTCTTGTCATCCTTGAGCTACCAAGTGGTAGAGGATGCACGATCACAACTACCTCAAAATCGCGAGGTAGCGCTAGATGGCTCCGGGGGCAGCCTGGGTTTGTTCTCTGAAGCCATGCCCAATAGCGTGTAAAGCAAGGTTGGTGTGGTACAGTTTGCACACACCAAGGCCACGAAGTTGAATGGGCCGGCAAACACGCAGCCAGTTGACTTGCATTGACCCCCACGAACGTCTTTACGACTGCCCCAAAGGAAGACACTGATCACCTGATTGATCCTTGTCAGGATGGGCTTGTTCATGGCAATGGCAATGAGAAAGTAGGCGGGCATCACACATAGGATCTGGCAAACGAGAGATATTCTATCTCCAAGAGAGAGCATAGAGGCATGTTAGGTAGAGACCTTCTTCTCAATATTCTCCATGAGAGGAAGTAGCACAAACGTTGGCATCTTGCCGAGAGAAAGGGGGAGGCCCAGATTGAACCGGGAAGGTACTGGTAGAGCACGCGTGGTTGTTTTGGATTGCGTCTATGTGCTCGTAAGAGCAACAGATCGGTGTAGCAAAAATTTTGCAATGTTCCCCGACGCAATCCCGAAGACGTGGAGGATCTCCTTGATGGTCAAGATGTCGTGTTGATCCGGATGACATAATACAATGACAACATCAGCGTAGAGGCACACACTTAGGGCGATGTGTTGGGCGGTGAGGTGCTGCAATAACCCAAGCTCTACCGCACTTCGAATGAGGAATTAAAGAACGATGATTTCCAAAGAAAACAACATTGGAGACAACGGATCGCCTTGTCGGAGGCTACGGGTGATGAGGACATCAATACAATTGTTACACCCACAGCCCCTGCTGCTATACATACTGGACCAATTACTAGAGCTCGTGCACGCCAACTAAATTACCAGGTACTTTCGTTTCTTGGTAATGATTCTAATGTTCATGAGAATATGATGCTACCTAAATTGGATACATTTGTTTTGCTTACAAATGAAGTGCCTAGCTTGGAGAAGGATGAACATTGGAGCAAGAACAAGCATGGAGATGATGGCATGCGCAAGGGGAACAAGAACGGAGTTACGAGTGATGATTTCAGGACTTTGAAGCCACCATAATGGGTGCATGAAGCCTTGGACGAAATATACAAGATGCCACTTCATAAATTTCGTCCCGAGGCTATTTTAGGTGCTGCGTCACCTTATTATTGGGCCAGGCCCATGTAATTTCGAAATACATAAGTATAGGCTATTTTTAGAGTCCGTATGTGTGGGGAAACAAGAGATAGGGTTGATTTCGGACCCCTCCACCAAGGGCCACGAAATTCCCCCCTCTTCCTCCATATATACAGCCCTTAGGGCATCGTTTAGACTTTGGGTTTTGTTTAGATTAAAAGTTCGCCATAGCTGCAACTTCGCGTACTTCGTTTGTGTTCAACGACCAGACAAAGGCGTCACAGAACCCCACCTTGATCAATAAAGCTTTCATCTTATATTCGCAATATCCAGATTGCAATCTCAGTTTCTTGCTTGTCCTTCGTTTGCTCGCAGGAAACAGACCCTCGTGGTCAGGTTGATCGTGCTCCGGCGTGGTCAATAACCTCTCGGAGTTGGTTTAGCGATTGCTAAGGCGCAACGTCCTCGCACGTTCGTAGTCGGATCGTCAAAGTCGACTTCCACCAAAGCGAAATCCATCATCTCATCGAAAGACGGGACACCTCTGCCTCTATCAGCTGCTTGGTAAGAACTGGTAAGAATTTGAGATTCGCTTGACGGATTTGTGACACACCACCACCACCACATCCTAGTAGTCTGTAGGATCATATTATTGTGTGTTTCTATTGTTGTTAACCATGGTGATGAGGACATCAATACAACTGTTACACCCACAGCCCCTGCTGCTATACATACTGGACCAATTACTAGAGCTCGCGCACGCCAACTAAATTACCAGGTACTTTTGTTTCTTGGTAATGATTCTAATGTTCATGAGAATATGATGCCGCCTAAATTGGATACATTTGTTTTGCTTACAAATGAAGGGCCTAGCTTGGAGAAGGATGAACATTGGAGCAAGAACAAGCATGGAGATGATGGCATGCGCAAGGGGAACAAGAACGGAGTTACAAGTGATGATTTCAGGACTTTGAAGCCACCATAATGGGTGCATGAAGCCTTGGACGAAATATACAAGATGCCACTTCATAAATTTCGTCCCGAGGCTATTTTAGGTGCTGCGTCACCTTATTATTTGGCCAGGCCCATGTAATTTCGAAATACATAAGTATAGGCTATTTTTAGAGTCCGTATGTGTGGGGAAACAAGAGATAGGGTTGATTTCGGACCCCTCCACCAAGGGCCACGAAATTCCCCCCCTCTTCCTCCATATATACAGCCCTTAGGGCATCGTTTAGACTTTGGGTTTTGTTTAGATTAAAAGTTCGCCATAGCTGCAACTTCGCGTACTTCGTTTGTGTTCAACGACCAGACAAAGGCGTCACAGAACCCCACCTTGATCAATAAAGCTTTCATCTTATATTCGCAATATCCAGATTGCAATCTTAGTTTCTTGCTTGTTCTTCGTTTGCTCGCAGGAAACAGACCCTCGTGGTCAGGTTGATCGTGCTCCGGCATGGTCAATAACCTCTCGGAGTTGGTTTAGCGATTGCTAAGGCGCGACGTCCTCGCACGTTCGTAGTCGGATCGTCAAAGTCGACTTCCACCAAAGCGATATCCATCATCTCATCGAAAGACGGGACACCTTTGCCTCTATCATTCTCGAAAATGGCACACTTTATACCATGTCATAAAAGCGATGATGCTGTTAATGTTGCTGATTTGTTCTTTCGTGAAATTATTCGCTTGCATGGTGTGCCAAATACTATTGTTTCAGATCGTGATACTAAATTTCTTAGCCACTTTTGGAGATGTTTATGGGCTAAGTTGGGGACTAAACTGCTTTTTAGTACTACTTGTCACCCCCAAACTGATGGACAAACTGAAGTAGTCAATAGAACGTTGTCTACTATGCTTAGGGCTGTTTTGAAGAATAATAAGAAAATGTGGGAGGAATGCTTGCCTCATATTGAATTTGCTTATAATCGTTCATTGCATTCTACTACTAAGATGTGCCCTTTTGAAGTTGTGTATGGTTTCCTACCTCGTGCACCTATTGATTTGTTGCCTCTTCCATCTTCGGAGAAGGTTAATTTTGATGCTAAACAACGTGCTGAATTGATTTTAAAAATGCATGAGTTAACTAAGGAAAACATTGAGCGCATGAATGCTAAATATAAACTTGCTGGAGATAAGGGTAGAAAACATGTTCTGTTTGCACCTGGAGATCTTGTTTGGTTACATTTGCGTAAGGATAGATTTCCTGATTTGCGCAAATCAAAGTTAATGCCACGTGCTGATGGTCCCTTTAAGGTGTTAGAGAAAATAAATGATAATGCATATAAACTTGAGTTGCCTGCAAATTTTGGGGTTAGTCCCACTTTTAACATTGCAGATTTGAAGCCTTATTTGGGTGAGGAAGATGAACTTCCGTCGAGGACGACTTCATTTCAAGAAGGGGAGGATGATGAGGACATCAATACAATTGTTACACCCACAGCCCCTGCTGCTATACATACTGGACCAATTACTAGAGCTCGTGCACGCCAACTAAATTACCAGGTACTTTCGTTTCTTGGTAATGATTCTAATGTTCATGAGAATATGATGCTGCCTAAATTGGATACATTTGTTTTGCTTACAAATGAAGGACCTAGCTTGGAGAAGGATGAACATTGGAGCAAGAACAAGCATGGAGATGATGGCATGCGCAAGGGAAACAAGAACGGAGTTACAAGTGATGATTTCAGGACTTTGAAGCCACCATAATGGGTGCATGAAGCCTTGGACGAAATATACAAGATGCCACTTCATAAATTTCGTCCCGAGGCTATTTTAGGTGCTGCGTCACCTTATTATTGGGCCAGGCCCATGTAA